CTGACTTTCTTGTAATGGTAATTTTTTATCAGTCTTAATCAGACTTCCGACATTTTTTATTTTGAAGGACTATTTTTGTTTTACTTTTTAATGGTATTTTTTTAAGCCACTTGACATAAAAAAGCTCCAAAAGTCAAAGGATATTGTGTTCACACAACAGAAAATTCAGCAATAAAACTATTTTAAACTGGATCATTAGGCATTTTGTTATCAGCAGCTTGTCACAAAGATGCAATTGATTCTTTAACAAAACCTTCAAAAAGAAACACACAATGTGACTTGTAAAATATTACTTCATTACCAACAAGGTGATTTCCAAAAAAACTTTTTGCTGAAGATGATGCATAAAGTATATAATCAGCTGAAGGATGAAGCATCTCTGATTCAAGTTTGTGCTTTTTTAATTGACTTTATAGAAGACATATCATGCTTTTAAACTTTTCTTTTTCACGATTAAATTGTTCAGTTGGGGTCTATATACTGTAAAATGGAACTGCAATGCTTTGGTCCAAAATTCTCATTATTGTAACTTTACCAGCCCCTCTTTCACCCCTTTTCTGAGGTGTCTAAAAGCAGCTCGCTTTGAGGCTGTCTCTTTAAATCCAAATGAAGCGTTTCACATCCCGTCGCCCTCAGCTTCCAGAGTGGTTYATTTTAGTTTGATAGCGGAAATACGACTATAGTGACGCAGAAACATTTTCCTTACAAATTAATTAAAATGCCAACAATAGAAGAATTGTCCATCCAGCCTTACATGTCGGAGTTTAACCCGGAGTGAGAGGAGAATGAAGATGGCAAAATTGTTGTAGGTAGGTCCGGACGTTATTAGAAGTTCCATTGCAAATTCTGTGACATAATGATTCACAAAGAACCATAGAAAATAGAGAAAACTGGACGGGCTGCAAAAATAGGACCCATAAAGACATCTACATAGGACTGGGAGAAACTAAAATCAACTTTTCTGCACTCCTAGTGACTCCAAGTACTCAACAAAATGTATTCAAAGGCTAAAAATGAGGATTTTGCATGGTATGTCCCCTTTAAGACATGACTTGGCATGATGTAATGTAGATTTTTTTTTAGACCAGACATGTTTTAGTTTGTACTACACTTGAAAAACTTAAAGGAATCCATGATTAGTTGTAACATTAGACTTTATTTGATAAACATATATTTTAACTGTAAAATAAAGACTGTAAAAATACTGTAGGCTGTTTAGTTATTATAATTTTTAAACTAAAAGTTTCAAAATATATTACACGGACGGGGTCATTTTATTTACACGCAAAGCATTCTGGGTAAATGATAACATGGATAGGTCCTCGGTGTGAGGCTGCTAGCGAGCTATATCCACCCTGAAGGTTAATCTTGGACAATATCTGATGATCGACTCTTTTAAATGAAACCAGAGAGCGTTGACAGAGAGGAGAAGGTAGAAATGACTCAGCCTGTAACTGAAAATATGGATGGAGGACAACAGAGCTGCTTCATGGAAGAAGAACCTCAGCTTAGCCTGTTAGCTTTAGCGTTAGCTTCAAAGCTATCACCATATATATGTATTAGCTCAGTGCTACACATTCTCCTCTCATCACTGAGGTCCTCCATCCACATGACAGAGAGGGGAACACAAAAATGACTCAGCCTGCAACTGAAAATATGGATGGAGGACCTCAGTTTAGCTTGTTAGTCTGTCGCGCTAGCGCTGAGCTAATACATATATGGCAAAATAGCGTTGGCACTAGCGCAAAGGCTAACAGGCTAAGCTGAGGTTCATATTCCGTAAAGCAGCTCTGTTGTCCTCCATCCACATTTTTAATTGTAGATGAGTCATTTCTACCTTCTCCTCTCTGTCAACACTCTGGTTTCATTTTAAAGTGTCAATCATCAGATATTGTCCAAGATTAACTTTCAGCTTGGATACACACACAGATGACCTATCCTTGTCATCTTTTACCCAGAATGCGTTGCGTGTAAATAAAATGGCCCCGTCCATGTTCAAATATGTTTACAAAACTAAACAGCCTAAAGTATTTTTACAGTCTTTATTTTGCAGTTAAAATAAAAGTTTATCAAATAAAGTCTAATGTTACAACTAATCATGGATCCCTTTAAAGAAGAAATATTRATCAGGACCACTTAAAAAGATCACACAAAAGGATGTCTCCTTGGAAGAAAAGTGGATGGAAAAAAAATTAAGAAGTTATTTAAAACTTTTGCACGTTATATGTTGCCACTGTTAAATGTTTCACACCTTTGACAGATTACTGTTAAAGATTCAAAGACACTGACTTTGTATTAACAAGTAGAGAATCTGATTTTAGACCCAGCATAAACAAATCAGATTTCTTGTTTTCTTTCTAGAGCACAAGATTCAAGAATTTAAAGGAAACAAAGACCATTACAGAGCCACAGACTAAAGGTACAAATTAAAGGGTACAATTTGTCTTTAAGTTGCCTTAAGCAGCATCCTAAAGACCCCAGTAATTATTTTCTTCAATGCACTCCTGATTGTCTTTAAAGGTTTTTTTTTTTTTTTAGTATCACTTAATTTGCAGTTTGCACATTTAAAACTGTAGCAACGTTAGCGACCTTTGGGTGAAAAAAGCTTGGATAGCTTGCTTACCTTAGTCTGCAAGAAGAGACTTTTTAGTCAAACCTGTCATAGCATTTGTCTGTTCGGTCAGTAAGTGCGCTAAGTGTTTCAGTCGCCAAGTGCAGTTTATACTTTTACTGATTTCTGTCCAGGTCTCAAGCATCAAAGGTCCAGAGCTCTGGAATACACTAGGCACTGAAATCACAGCTACGTGGTCCAGGGAATAGTATTTCAGATCCATCACACGCTCATGAAAAGATATTTTGAAAAATTGGATTTTGCAAGTCTCTATCTATATGTTGTCGACTTTGCATGAAAATACATGTTTTCAGCGTGCAACAATTCTAGAAATACTACCCCTTGACTCAGATGACTCCACTAACCCCAGTAACCTTAGGCCTTAGGACAGTGTAATGTGAGTAACGATACTAATTACGTTTAGTTTAAACTGGCTTGTCTGCATGTACAAGTTCAGTACCATTTACCATTTACCATTTACCATGTATGTTGTAACGAGGCAGAGTTTGGCGGAAAGTTTATGAACAGTTTTACTCTCTCACCTGCTGTAGGTAGCCTTTTAAACAACTTCAGTTTTAAGATGTAGAGTTTATTTCTAATTGGTCTAATGAGCTAATGGCTAGTGCAAGTGGATTTCTGCCACCTTAAATCAAACTCCAATCCCAAAAATTTCATAGCAGCTCTGACAAAAATTATTTTGTAAACCTTTACATCACCATCACTTTTGTATTGAATTATTCTAGGAGTAATAATAAAATATACTTACCAGAAGTGACACAGGCTGCACCACAAGTACTGCAGCTAGTTGTTAATTACACTTTCAATTCAATCAAAATATTCTTAAATAATAGTGTACTTCAAAATTGATGGCAATGTAAATATTTACAAAACAGTAATTTGCTTGTATTTCTAAGAAATGTTTGAAATTGTAGTTGTTTAAAATGGATGCAACCACTTTGAACTTAGCTAAGCTTAGAGTTTCATTCTGAACAAAGTGATGAGCTAACAACTCACTGCAAAAAATGTCCACCTAACGAAGTTTTAAAGTCTTATATCCAGCCAAAAAGTCTTTTTGATCTTGTTTTGAGACTGATTTACTAAACAAGAACTGATTGTGTAAGAATAATAATCTTGTTTTCAGAATGTGTAAGATTATTTGTCTTGTTAGCCTAAAAATATCACTCAAATTAAGTAAAAAAAAAATCCTGCCAATGGAGTAAGAAATTTTTAATTTGTACGATTCTTGAAATACTTGATTTGACTCAGTTTTTTCTTATTTCAAATAAAAATTTCTCACTCCAGTGGAAGAAATTTTTGACTTAATTTGAGTCAAATTTTCAGGTTAACAAGATACAGTATATAATCTAACACATTCTGAAAACAAGATTATTATTCTTACACAATCAGTTCTTGTTTAGTAAATCAGTCTCAAAACAAGATGAAAAAGACTTTTTGGCTGGATAGAAGACTTTAAAACTTGGTAAGATGGACAGTTTTTGCAGTGTAGGTTAGGAGAAGAGGTATATGAT